GAAAACTAAGATAAACTGAAAGGACTCCTCTTGCACAGATATGGATATGCAGAGTATTCTCTGTAAAGGAGCTAGACATTACACCAAAGACTAATAATAAATCACTACTGCCTTGCAATTGAGCTCCACATGGATGTTAATCTGCCGAAAATTTTAGGTACATCAGGTTTTTATGGCCGAAAACTCTGGGCTTTCTTGGAGTCTGGAAGACCAAGCAGCCACACCCACACCCCTCTACTGCTTCCCTGCAAGCCCATCTACCCGATCCCTTTCACAGACTCATAAGTAAGTCTCAAAAAGATCAACTAGTTGCAAAAATTTCTTGCATACACCAGTCCAGGCTGAGATCATCTGGGTGAACTTGGGAGGGGGTTGGGCGTGGGCCAAATTTCTACCCTACCAAAGATGAAGCACCCACATTTTCAGTCAACTCACGTCCCAATAGCTGCCACGATGCTTTTGGCTGGATTTCACAGCCTCACAAATGAACTCCATGGAGGTGCTAATCTGTTGAAAAATTCATGTTTTTATGGCTGAAAAGTCTAGACTTTCATGGAGTCTGGGTGGGTGACCTCCCCACCCCACACCTCCCCGTACTTCCAGAAACCCTGGCAGCCACACCCATGTTCCACCACTGCCTCCATGTGAGTTCACTGCCCAGTTAAATAATCTGGATTTTCCTAGAGCACTCAACATCTCCAAAGTCTACAATATTAACATCCCGGTAAGAGCACATCAGATTGAATGGGGATGTAACATAGAAGCCAAATAAGTTTGATTAACAAAAGCATTAACACAAAAGGCTTAATGAGCTGCAACATTTTAGCAAACCCCCAGATAGGGACTTAAGTCCACATGGTGAGATAGTATTTTCACAAATCTTCTTTAACTGAAGTACTTTTTGATCATTCCATTAATCATTTCGCGGTTACATGCAATACAAAATAAATTATTAAGGGCAGCAACAAGTTAGCAAACCCTCAGATAAGGACTTAGTTCCACATGGTGAGATAGAACAAGTTTCACAAATTTTCTTTTACTGAAGTAGTTTTTGATCACTTTATTAACCATTTTGTAGTTACATGCAATATAAAATAAATTACTGAGGACATGTTTTGAAAGCAGACTTAAGGAATGATTGGGAAAATGGAGACAATGGTGGCGAGAAAGTGATATTGGTGATGGGATTAGTGTTGGAATATTGAATGTCTGTAACAAACCATCATGAAAAAAGTAGAGGGCTATGCTAAGAATAAATTAGTCTTGGACAAGGGATGTAGCTCAGTGACAGAGCACTTGCTTTGAATATGCAAGGCCCTGAGTTTTAATCTCCAGCAGAGCAAGAAGAAGGAAGGAGAGGAGGAGAAGGTGAAAGATGGAAGAGAAGGAAAAAGTGATAGAAGAGAAGGGGAAGAATGTGAAGGAAGAGAGGAAGGAGGAGAAAAGAAGAGGAATTTGTCTGATTTTTCTCCTTTTTCTTGGGATTGGGACACAACACATAAAAGTGGCCTTGAATAAAATGTCTGACCCCACAATCATTTGGCACTAGAAGAACACATCCTGTTTACCTAGAACATTTCATCTGATTTTGTAAATTGCAAGTACTAGGGAGCCAGTTTATCTGGAGTGAAGTCAGTGGGGTTTTACTAATTAAAATTCAAAAGGAACTGCTATTTTCAGGAGATCTGGAAAACTCTTCAATCTTATGTGCAGATGCAAGGTGGGTCATTCCTCTCAAAAATAGCCAGAATCCTAATGCACGATGCACGTGGCTGTTGGCACTTCTAGTCCCAACTTCTAAGCTACACAAAATACTTCTTAATTGGTCTACTTCTCAGTTTCTTCATTTATCTATTATAGTAGCAGATAAGCGCTTCTCACTCTCCTGCACAATAGAAACACATCCAGCAATGACGTGCCTCAGTCTCTGTCCTAGAGATTCTTACTTATTTGATCTAGGGAAGTCTCTGGGAATTATTTGTTCTGGTTAAATTTCTGGGGTTAGGGTGTCAGACAGCAAGTACTACAATTTATTAAAATCTAGACCAAGTAGTAACTTGAAATATATATATAGGTATATATATATAGATAGATAGATAGATAGATAGATAGATAGATAGATAGATAGATATCTGCCATGTTCTACAAAACCTGTAGAATCCAGCCAATCACTTTAACCCTCTATGTCACATGCCTTTAATCCTCACAATAGCACTGTAACACTGTCCTCCTATTGTTCATTAATTTGCTCAAGCGTGCACCAGTAACGTCTCCATTGTGAGACTTGTTGTTACTGTTTTTGGCATATCGAATATGCCACGGGGAGCTTACCATGCTCTGCCGTGCGGGCGGGATATTCTCAGTAGCTTGCTGGGCTCTCCGAGAGGGAGGGAGGAATCGAACCCGGGTCAGCCACGTGCAAGGCAAATACCCTACATGCTGTGCTATCGCTCCAGCCCATCCTCACAGGAACTGCAATGATAGTACAGTGGGTAGAGCATTTGCCTTGCACACGGCTGACTGGGGTTCAATTCCCAGCATCCCATAAGGTCACCTGAGCACCGCCAGGAGTATTTCCTGAATTCAAAGCTAGGAGTAAACCCTGCGCATCGCTGGGTGTGACCCAAAATAGAAAGGAAGAAAGAAAGAAAGAAAGAAAGAAAGAAAGAAAGAAAGAAAGAAAGAACTTCTAAAGCTATATTTTGTATTTCTTATAATTGTTGAATCTCTGACATGTTGAAAGCAGAGTATGTCTCTGTTATGAGAAGTTAACAACATGCAGTAGGTGAAATAGCTAATTGGACGAGGAGATGAAATCAAGGCAGGGAAACAAAACAGAATGATCAGCAAAACATCATGGTACATCCAAAACCAGCAGGGCCAAGTACCTTTCTAGTTTGGTGTCGAAACAGATTGAAAAACAGCAAGAATATGTATCAAATTGTGATTATTTTGGTATTTTACATTGCTCTTTTATTTTAACTTCTTTCCAAATTTCTTCTTACAAGTCTACAATGACCTGTTTATAGTGATTTATTATTCACTTATTTCCTAACAGGTATAGAGGAAAAACTAAAATGTTCCATTTTTAAAGAAGACTGAAAGTGATAGAAAGGGAACCTATCATTGAAATCATTTAAGTACAAAGGGAATCCATCCTACCCCACCTGTTTTTGTTCTAATATTCTGTTTTATTCTCTTTTATTTTTAGAACATTACCATCTTTGATATCTTTTCAGAAAGAGTCTCAAACCGCCAGTTAGAAAACAGATTTGAGAGCAGGAAAGATAGTCCAGCGGGTAAGACACTTGCCCTGCAGGTGGCCAACTCTTCTCTGCATCCTGTATGGTTCCCTGAGCCTACCCGGAGTGATTCCAGAGTGCAGAGCCAGGAGTAGCCCCTGAGCACTGCTGGGAGTGGCCCAAAAATCAAAAGTAAAAAAAAAAAAAAAAAAAAGAACACAGATTTGGATCTATGTAAAGTTTATTTTTATATTATTAATTGCCAAAGCCCAAACATAAAAATAATAAGTGTAAAAGTGACTAAAACTCAGACTTTCCTAAAAGTATTCAAAACTCAAACCCTAGTTCAGAAATACAGATTTTTAATACCTGAAACAAAAATTATAATAGTAAAAATGAGTAAAACGTTCTTGGACTTTTCTCAGTGGTAAAAGAACACTGTTCACACTCCCATATATCATGCTGTCTTTCTAGTGAGAGGAAGGCGTTATCAAGAACCAATTCGCAAACCTAACAATGAATTATTTGCTTTTATGCCCTGGCTTGGTCTAAGAGTTGGGAAGACAGAAAATAAATCATGAAAGTATTGATGGGTAACTGTAGGAAGCGGCTTGAAAAGAATAGGGCATAGGACTGGAAGAAGCAGGTAGAACTATTCTACTGTGTGAAATTACTGGATTTCTGAAATACAACAAATACCCAAAAAATGTATTATTTGTGTAACAAACATAAAAGACCAAAGGCATTATTATCCCATTATGAAAGAAAAACTTGACTGCTGTGAAACGGGGTGACCTGACAAAGTGGTGGAAAACAAATGATAAGCAAGTTAGACATCAGAGAACTTTTTCTCCCTTCTGGAATATGCAAGGCATTTTTCATCCCCAGCACCTGTCCTGCTTTGCCTTCCAACACTCTCTGCCCTCTTTTGCCCAGTCATGGGCTGAAGGTTGTAGTGGGCCCAATTCACATTTCAAAGATTGCCCTTTGTTCCCAGAACTTTCCTGGGCGTTGACAGCACCCTATGCCCCATCTGAGGCCCAAGACCCCCTTCTCTGGGGATTACACACGTGCAGCTTGGCTATTAGAATATAACAGCGCAAATTCATGGATGAACATCTTTATGCCACATCTTTGGGAGAGAAAGAGAGAGAGAGAGAGAGACAGAGAGAGAGAGACAGAGACAGAGACAGAGACACAAAGAGAGACAGAGACACACACAGAGAGAGGGAAAGAGAGAGACAGAAAGACAAAGACAGCAGAGACAGAAAATACAAAGACAGACACACAGAGTGAGCGAGAGAGAGAGAGAGAGAGACAGAGACAGAGAGACAGAGACATAAAGAGAGACAGAGACACAGAGAGAGAGAGAAAGAGAGAGACAGAAAGACAAAGACAGCAATGACAGAAAATACAAAGACACAGACACACAGAGCGAGTGAGCGAGAGAGAGAGAGAGAGAGAGAGAGAGAGAGAGATTCCTTTTTTCCTTTAGGGAAAACCCTAAACAAATACCAGCCAGTTGCCTGATATTCAATCTCCTTAAACACAGAAACTAACTTGACCAACTCCCCAAGGCACACAAAGGCTCTCGAACACCCATGGCTTCAACTTCCCCCAGACACATCTCCGAGACAGAAAAGAAAACCAAGCCGAGACTGATAACTGCAAGATGCCTTACAAGCGACACCACGGCTGAGGCGGACCTGTGGTCTCCCAGCAGAAGAACACAGACCACAGCAAGACAAAGCCTGTTACCTGGCCACAGCTGCTGTCTCTAGGCCGGCTCCTGCGCTGCTCAAATGCCGAAACACTCCCAGGTATCCTCTAGGAGGCCATGGGCCTGGCAGCCTCCTCACACCCAGCAAAGAGAGAGACAAGCAGGACTCATGGTGAGGGCTCAGGCAGCACTGGTGCTCCGCACCCCTAACTGCGCCTTCCCAGCTCTGGTCCTCACACGGCCTCCCCGCCTCCCAGAGCCTCACACGGCCATCCCGGAGGCCTGGCTCCAGTTAGAAAAACAAGAAGTGATTTCCTGGTCCTCTTCCCCGGATGGCGTGTGCTATTTCCCTCACGCCCATGGGAAGTCCTTCAGATCCTTCTTATCTGGAAACCTCTCCACTGAATGGCTGGACTTGTTTGACAATGCCTCTAGGTCTTCGCTTTCCTTTCTCTGTTGTAAAACTCAGGGAAAGAGAGAGAGAGAGAGAGAGAGAGAGAGAGAGAGAGAGAGAGAGAGAGAGAGAGAGAGAGAGAAAGAGAGAGAGAGAGAAAGAAAAAGAGAGAAAGAGAGAGAGAGAAAGAAAGAAAGAAAGAAAGAAAGAAAGAAAGAAAGAAAGGAAGGAAGAAAGAAAGAAGCTGAAGGGAACTAAAAATGGCTTCAAAAGAATGAGTCCTACAGATAGGATGCCTGGTTTTCTAGAGCTATATTACTTTGTGACTTCAGACTAAATAGAAAATTAAAACCATCAATGAGTTCCTTATATCTAGCAATGCCAAAGCATCAAAGATTGATAAACTCACCAAAGAATGAAAGACCTAAAGGAGTCATTTAGCCCTAGTCTGGACTTCATTTTATTTTCAGTTTTTGAGTTACACCTGGCAATATTCTGGGGTTACTCCTGGGTCTGAACTCGGTAATTACTCCTCGTGGTGCCCATAGGACCCTATCCGGTGCCAGGGATGGACATAGGGTCTGGAGCACGTAAGGCAAGCACCATCCCCATGTACGACTCTCCAGTCCCTCTAGTCGGGACTTTAGGGAGGAATATACTTAAAATGCTGCATGATGAAATATAATTTTCCTAGGTTCTAGGAAACCTATGAATATTTGTGTATCAACTATAAATTCAGTGACACAAAATAGCTCAATGACCCTGATATTTAAAGAGTATATCTGGCCACTGACAGCTTGCAGTTTTGTTGTTGAATTTTATTTGTTTTAGGGGGAGAGGTTAGGCCACACTCTGTAGTGTTGGGCTACAAAGGCAAGCACTTGAACCCCTGTACTGTGTCTCCCTGTACTGATCCCAGACTGATCAGTTTGAAGATAATCTATAGCCAGAGTTTTTGAGTTAGCCCTTAGCTAGTCATCCCCATTTACACATGAGAAAAACCAAAGCCTAAGGAGAAATAAGACACCCCCACAGCAGATGACAGATGGGGGAAAATGAATTATTATCCAATGGCTCACCAATTTTATTTATCCAATTATTATCATTTTTGGACCCAACCCCAGTTCTCAGGGTGTACCTCTGTTTCTGTGCTTAGGGATCACTCCAGACGGTACTTGGTGAACCCTAAGTTGTGACAGGGATATAAACCAAGGTCAGTCATAAGCAACACAGCACCTTACCCCCGGCACTATCATTCTGGCCCTGTGCTTAAGTTTCAGTGTTTGGAATGCTATTACTCTGAGACCTACACACAAAACATCTGATGAATGAAACCTGGCCTGAAGCCCAGTAATCTGCATTGAGAATTGGCGCAGTAGGTGAGTATAAGGCAGGGAATCCCCAGACTAAAAGCAGCATGGCCAAGTTGCCTGCATTTGAAGACATTCAAACTCTAGTCCCTAGCAATTTCTATTTATGTGACCTGGTAGCCTTATGGTCTCCACTGAAACTCTGTTTTATTTTGTGTGGAAGCAGATAGTAATATTGTTGAGCTTATGGGTTCTGGTAAGCCTGATTTGGAAGAACAACTTGAGAATTGTTTGATAGTATCTGGAGGCCTGGACTTGAATCCCTCCAGCTTATTCTTTCCACGTCCCTCTGTCTCCCTTTCTCCTGCTGAGGTAAGACTCTTAGATCAGAATCTAGCAGCAGTACACTGAAACTTCAGAGAAAATTAAGTGTTTTGGTGAAAAAAAGAAAAAGATGATCCTGGAAAATACTATTGTTCAACTTCTCGATCCTAATTTTCAAGTGTGTCCTAAAGCTCACTCCATGCAGTCACATCGAGATGTTGGAGATTGCTCATTTGCAGTTACTCTTCAATGCATCCTTGCTGCCATCCAGGGTCTCACTGGAAAAATCACCCAGCAAGACTGTCTGCTCAGGGAAAGCAGGCTGCTCCCTTAGACCGGAATGGGTGTGGGTGGGTGGGTGTAAGGATGGGAGGGTAGATTCTGATTGGTGCGTGGTGATCTCATTTTCTTTCCTGGATATTGGATGTGTGGCCAATTACAGACACATGTCAGTTCTAGATATCTTATGAGGGGAATAATGGTAAAGGTAAAAGGTAAAGGCCCTCCCGTTGATCGTCGATTTGCTCGAGCGGCCCAGTAACGTCTCCATTGGAGACTTTGTTGTTACTGTGTTTGGCATATCGAATACTCTCGGTAGCTTGCCGGGCTCTCCGAGAGGGGTGGAGGAATCGAACTCGGGTTGAAGTCTCTTATATTCTTATATTGGATTCTGTTCTAATAGGGCTTTCTGTTGTTTGCGGGTAAAAACCTCAATAGTAAAAGGAAATTTATTATAAAAATAATTCTATAGATTCTACATTAAAAACTGCTTTTTGGCTTTAGAAATATAGGGATACATAAAATACTACCCTTGACTTTAAAAATACAGGAATACCAAAACACTAAAAGTATAGAAAAACACATATACAAAGATAAATAACTTTAAGTCAAAATATACCAAAATATTATTAGCTTATGCTAAATATTAATGGTCTTAATTTTTAAGAAAAATGAAAAGGGATACTTGCAATTCTTTCTGACACTAACAATTTGTAATCTTAAATATAAGCGGTAGAAAAGAACTTGGGACTTTACCCAAAGCAGTCTTGGGGTGAATAGAGTGAATTTCATCAGTAGTAACTCAGTGGGGCTTTATCTCTTCAATGAACAGATAGATCTTAATGTGCCACTATTTTCTTATTAGAAAAAAGTGGCATATGTCACAACGTAAATGCAAATTGATTTAAATGCATGCAAAAATTCTTAGAAAAATACCTCATCTACATCTCTCTGTGTAAGAGTTAGTTATTGTTGTTTTTACAGTAAATAGATTTTTTGCTGTAATTATATTGCACATATATATCCATATTATCTGTTTTCTGCTATGTTCACCATAAGTTTCGTAGATATTGGTACTTTGAAGATGACTTTGAATTGTTTTTTGTCTCTATAAAAATGATCTTATATAGATGAAGGATACTGGTTGTGATAAGGAGGAAGGAGACAATGTAGTATGAAATAGAACACGATCAAGGTGCTAAAGAACACAAAAAGAACCTTGCAGACTGACAGCTTTGGAAAGTAACTGCAAGACAATACTCAATGTACACTGTACAGAGTGTAGCCTACTTTAGAAGAAAGAGAAACTTGCTTACCCGCTACTCCCAAAAGTCTAACAGTATGGAAATATTGTACCTCTAAAACACATAAACATTTGGGCTCTTGTAAACCTAAATACATACTGTTTGAAACTCTAAATTGGGTATAGTACAGCCAGTAGCATGCTGGCCTTGCATGGAGCTGTACCTAGGTTCTATCACTGGTACCACATGTCGTTCCCTTGAGCCTTGCCAGGAGCATATGCCCTGAGCATAGAACCAGGCAAGAGTAAGCTGAGTGACATTGAGTATGGCAACTAACTAACTAATTAAATAAATGAAATAGAGGATTAATAATGTCAGGCAACTCGAATTGGGTACAACTTGCCTTAAGAAATGTTGGCATGAGCTCCTGGGTCAAAACTTCCTTTCAAACCCTCTTCCTGCTTGTGTTGGGTTGTCAGGAGCAGTTGGCTTTTTGACATGAAATGGGCGTTGTCACGGTGACTGCCGTTTGGCTTTCCCTGAGGAGCAATTCCTCTCTCACCCACAGTCGGGTTTGTTGCTAGGAACACTCTGTGCTTGTCGCACTTACTTTGCAGTGAAAACAAAGACAAATATAAAATGGAACCACCATATGGTCTAAGCATGTGAGAGCAGGATTAACTGCTGGTGGTGAGGCTTTCCTGTGTTCCACGTTAACTGCAATTGACTTCTGAATTCTAAGATGTTGGAGTAGGTGACTAATTGAAGCTAAACCTTAACAGACTGCAATGATGCATCTGAAAGAGCTGTGTCACCATTTTATAATAGCATGAAGTATCTTTGTTTGTTTGTTTTGGGGGACACACTTGGCAATGCTCAGGCCTTACTCCTGGCTCTGCACTCAGGGATCACTCCTGGCTGGCTAGGGGGACAACATAGAGTGCCAGAGATAAGGCCCAGTTTGGTTGTGTGCAAGACAAGTGCAACCTACTGTACTATCTCTTTGGTCCCAATATGAATTTTCTTTCAGGACTCAAGGGTGACCTCCTTAGAGACAGAGCTATTTTCTCAGACATGAAAGTCAACACCAAATAAATGTGAATTTTGTAACATGTTCTGGTCTGTTTCACCTTTCTGTCCTCCCTTTTAAGCAATCTGACATTCAGTTTCCCTTCAAGTTATGGGGGTTATTTCTTTCAAGAACCCTGCTAGCTCAAACAGGCTGGATTAAGTGTCCTTTTTCATGATTAGTGGTAACCAGTATGTCTCTTTTGTTTTCTGCTTTTATTTATCCTGATTTTTACAATTGCCACATTGTAGTCAAATAATTTTTTCAAAGCACTGAGTGCAAGAATCAATATAGGTGGACTAGTCTTATTATTGCATACAAGGTCTTAGTTCAATGTTGACAGAATGTAGGTGATCAATAAAAGTGAGTACATTAAACTGTTCCTTCTTATTCCAGTCCTAGTTTCCTCATTCTTAACATATTGTCTCAATACTTACTTTATGATTCACTCAGACTTTCAAGCTCTCCTCTGCTGATACCCCCAGGATATTTCCTATAGTTTCATGGTTTATATTTTAATACCAATGACTCCCAAATGATGTCAGTTTTACAAGACTAAAAGGGCTCTCATGTTGGCTGTAAGCTGGGATCATTGGATGTTTGAGCGTAGGTGGATATCATATATCTTTGGCTTTATGAGAACCATTGTAGT